TTAATGAAAATCAGTAAAAAGTTAGCCAAGAGCTAAAGTAGCAAAAGCGAAAACGCACAGAATGTTTTCAAAAAGGTCAAAGTTCTAGTTAAAAATAGCAACAGTTCAAAAGTCAAAGTAGCACACGATAAGCTAAAAGCAGCAAAAGACTAGCTAAAAGCTAAAAATGTCAAAAAGCTAGCTAAAAACACCCTAGAACTAGCCAAAGCCTAGCTAAAAACAGAAAACCTCGAGCGTCTCACCCCTCTTGCTCTTGTGCCAGATGTCGTACTCGACGTTTCGGAGCAGAGTCGGGTTCAGAGACCGCCACACCCTCTCGGGCAGCCTCCGCCCGCGGCCTCGACCCTGAAATAAAAACATTTTCAAACCCGCCTCCAGAAGACGGATGTTCCAAACGGCCCGGGGGACGAAGTGTTACCCTGAAACTTTGGCTGCTGGACCTGGAGGACGTCGCGCTCGTCTCGTTTTCCACCCTGCAGGAGAAAAACACCGTCTGACTCGGCCCTCCACACAAGTCTGAGGCCGTCGCTCGAGTTTTAAAGACGGGTCGTACCACAGCAGCTCGTCCGGCTCCGAGTCGTCGCTGCTGCCGCAGGCGGGCATGGCGTCGTCGCTCAGGACGTTGTTGGGCCGGCCGCCCCGCTGGCACTGAGCCAGGACGCTGCGGTCCACCTTAAAGACGCCGTCGTAGAGCAGCTCGTACAAGACGGCTGCAGGGAGGGAGTTCAACCAGCCACTTTATTTAAACCCCTGAGGAAGAGCGCCTCAAACACGAAAAACTTCAACTCCAACTTCTTGATTTATTTAGTAAAACAAACATTTTTTGACACATTTTCTGGTCCAGAAGTTCAGAGCATCATTAAAGCTGCTGTGGTCCGTCAGCTCCTGCGTTCAATGTGGAAACACTCGTCAGAAAACACTCCGATTCAATCTAACCAGGTTCTGTCGGGTGCGCTGGACGGATCCTTGTCGTTCACACGTTTCATCGTTCATCCAAAGGACTTCTTCAGTCTGAGGAGCTGCAACACACTCGGTCTTAAAAATCACTCCGGACCGGGCTGCTCCGAGGTGCTCCGCACAGCAAAACTGCAAACTACACCTGAACCTGCACGTCCTCATCGTGTTGACGGACGGCGCCACAAGCAGCGAGCGCATTTACTGAGACGTATCGGAGGCGATGGTGCGGCATGACTACACCCAGACTCATGAGCAGCGCTGGGACAAGCTAAAGGAACCGAAGAAGTGTGATTATAAAGCGATTACAACAGGTGGACTGGCTCGAACACAATGACCAGTTACAATTAGACCCGTCACGATAAATCCTGCCGGGCGATTCATCGTCTCAGAAATTATTGAGATAAACGATAATATTGTTTGAAATTTAACAATAATTACTAATTTTTGTCAAATTTAAGAAGAAATGTTGGTTCTTTTGTGTGTAGTACCTTTTTTAACCCCCAGATGGCAGTATAAGACTGTTTGAACTGAAGGATGGATAGTGAGGGAGCGGGCAGCATGTCTCTAAGAAAAATGGGAGGGAGGCCCCTTGACGCGACACGGGCTGTCTCTCTTCGGTTCGCAAAATGGCGGACGCTCAGTGTGGTTTGAGCTCTTTAGCATTTTTCACACAAAGATTTTAATATAAAAAAATCAGTAAACAAGTTCTCAGATTATTATTGCAGAAAACAACTTTTTACACAAAGGCACGAGTTTCAACCGTGAATTTTGGAGCTTCGACAAGACGGAGGTTTTTTCCCCGAGGTCGGCCTGTTAGCTTAGCTTATTAAATCTGATAACTCGGATATTACATCAGACACAGCATTACTGAGGTTAGCCGCTAGAAGACGGATCTCTATCGTTTCTACCGTGTCCCGTTTCTATCACGCACTCCTAACTCCGGTGCTTCACTGACCCCTCTCTTTCTCTTTAAAATCCATTTTAACGATCCAAAATCGTGTTTTTGTATCGTTAAAAGCAGCTAAGCTGAGATTTAATTGTTAATTTTTTTAGTTGAAAACTGTGCGTAAGTCAAGTTAAAGTCTTTTCTTCGAGAGCTAAGTAGCGAAGCTACAAGCTAACTACGGCCGGCTAGCCGTAGTGTTGCCGTATTCGGACGCATGCACCAAACGCTGTGTTCCGTCTAAAGTTTTTTTTTCCGTTGAAAGTTAAAGTCAGCGTTGGTCAGCTTTAGAGAAACCTGCTCTCTGATCTGTGAGAAGAACGCTGTGTTGTGTGATTTCACTGCGAGACCCTCTGGTCAAAGCCACAGAGGAAACTGGTCGCCATTTTGTGTCAGCTCTCCTTAAAGCGGAAGGAGACGCCCCCTAGAGGGTGAAGTGTTTTCACTTGGTGCTCTGTTGCTGTTCATATCTGAAGTGAGAAGACTGGAAACTGTTAAGAGTTAACAACATATTCTTCTGTTTGAAACATTTGGCTAAAACTACAGTTTATATGTTTTGCACTACAAGCAAGAAGACTAATACTTGATTTGTTTATTATTTAAAAACTCTCTGGACCTAGTAGTGGAATTTTATTAATTCAAAATAAATGATGGCAAAAGGACACCCCATGTTTTTTTTCATTCCTATTGCAGGTTTTATACCCAAAACATATCGTGATATATATCGATATCGCCACCCTTCACAATACATATCGTGATGTGAATTTTATGCCATATCGCACATTCCTAACCGGAGTTGAACCTTTTCTCATCCAGTGTCTTCAGTAGAACGAGAGAGAGATACGAAGAAATGATAAAGCTGATAAATGAAAATGAGGACGATAATTTTCATTTATCGTGCGATTAATTGATTTATTGATTATCGTGACAGGCCTGGTCACGATCCCACCCGCAGTCAACACGTCGCAGTGGTGTTTCTCTCATTAATCAAGATGGGCGCTGTGCCTACCAACTCCTCCACCCCTCGTGCGAGCGGAGACTGTAGCAGCTCTGCTCCGACTACAACAACCGTGTGCAAAACCAGCGTGGCGCTCCGCTAACCCCGGCCAAGAAACCGACTGCAGCAACGGCAGCGCGGCTTTAGAAGAACCCGTCCAGAGGACCTGACCCAACCTCGTTAGACGAACTTCATGGACGACGGAGCGTCGGGACAGTTGGAGTCGTACTCGTGTGAAAATGAAGCTCCACTCACACTGACAGAAGCCAGAGTTCTTGATGCGGCTGAGGGGGTACACGCTGTCGTAGTGGTTCCCGTTCAGAAAACACAGCAGCACCTGGAGGGAGCAAAAGACCCGAGTCAGCGTTTTCACAGACGTCCGAAAGGGAGTTCTGAGGTTTTATTCTAAAAAGCATGAGAGTTACGGAGCGTTTTTAAAAACGTCACATTATGGAAGAACTTCAGAGGAGCGATTTTAATTTATTTAAGTCTTCCACAACTTCTCTTACTGCCATTAAAACAACAACTTGTCTTAAAGAATCTCTTTTTTTTTACTTGGACTTAAATAAAAACATCTTGTTTTGGATCATGTTGATGTTAATATTCATAAACACCAACTCCTTGAACAAAGAACCATGAATAAAGGTTCATAAACCACGTTCATATAAAGCTGTTAATCATCTGGAGTTAGTTCCGACCTTGTCCTTGAAGTTGTTGTCGGTGATGTTGACCGCAGGTTTCCCCGGCTCCTGGAAGATCTGAAAATCCCTCCTGAAGGAAAACACGGAGGAACAGAGAAGATCTGAAACTGGGCTTCTAGGACCAGACGCCTCGTCCGGAACACTAAACGCAGGTTCTGACCACGATCCACTTCCTGCAGAAGAGACTCGAGCTGCAGAACGGCTCGATACGAGCCTCAGCAACAGGAAGGTCTTCAGCAACAATCCTTTACGTTCCATTCTTAGAACGGTGTGAAGGTTTATAATCCATCCTCGAGACTCAGGTCCGTGTTTCAGCAACTCCTTCCTCGGTTTTTGTTTCAGCGGTTCTTTGATCCAAACGTTCGGCTCGTTCAGGACCTGCTCCGCCTCTTTGTGACATCATCAGTTTTTCAGCCATGTTTGCTTATTGAAAATGAGCGGAGCTCTCGTCACCTCCTTTAAACGGTTTGTGCGTTTACAACCTTCTCGTTTCAGCTGTTCTAACCAGGTGACCTCAGGTCTTCTGGACAGATCCTCGTTTGTTGAAACGTTTCGTCTTTGATCCAAATGGACCCACCAGTCAGAACTAGCTGTTCACATGATAAATGAGGACCACCAGCCCGTTGGCGTCCTGATGGACGAGACTCACAAGGAGCTGAGTGATGCAGTAACATTTTCGGCTCGTATTTTCCCGCTTTCGGCTCGCGTTTTCCCGCTTTCGGCTCGCGTTTTCCCGCTTTCGGCTCGTGTTTTCCCGCTTTCGGCTCGTGTTTTCCCGCTTTCGGCTCGTGTTTTCCCTCTTTCGGCTCGTGTTTTCCCTCTTTCGGCTCGTGTTTTCCCTCTTTCGGTTCGTGTTTTCCCTCTTTCGGCTCGTGTTTTCCCTCTTTCGGCTCGTATTTTCCTGCTTCGTATTTTCCCGCTTTCGGCTCGTGTTTTCCAGCTTTGGGCTCGTGTTTTCCCGCTTTGGGCTCGTGTTTTCCCGCTTTCGGCTCGCATTTTCCCGCTTTCGGCTCGCATTTTCCCGCTTTCGGCTCGCGTTTTCCCGCTTTCGGCTCGCGTTTTCCCGCTTTCGGCTCGTGTTTTCCCGTTTTCGGCTCGTGTTTTCCCGTTTTCGGCTCGTGTTTTCCCGCTTTCGGCTCGTGTTTTCCTGCTTCGTATTTTCCCGTTTTCGGCTCGTGTTTTCCCTCTT